AAATTATGAAGATCAAAAAAAATCTTGGTTCAGTTGCATAACTATTGACCTATAGTTTAATGACATCAATGTAAAAAGTAGGCAACAAAATACTGAATGTGATCATTAATATTTAATTTGATTTTAGGTAAATATGCTTATTTTTCCTGTTTTTGTAATGAATTTATATTGCCTCTAAACTCAGAAAAAATATCAAAACTCTTATTTATTCTCAATCTCCCTCTCATCAGGATCAAATGCCAATTAAGTATGATTCATATCTTAATGGATTTAGAAGATATTATGGAGTAATTATTATCACTGTTCTAATATCACAAAATCATACAAGCTATTTTTCCTTGCAGTAAAATTTAGAGAATGATTGGAACAGAAATGATTATGCTTCTTATTTTTATCATTTAATGAATAGCTTCCTGGAAGCCATATCCTCCTAAGATATTTTTAACAGTTTAATTGTAAGAAGTAATTAACCCAGAGGGGGAAAAAAATCTAGTTTGCTTCTAAATAGACTCTAAGAATATCAAGTGAGTTCTAAAAATGCACAACACATTTTTCTCTCATGTTCCTAATGTAGGGAATATTCATAAGCTTTTCAAAAAATTTTCAAGACTTTTGTCATCAAAACCTCAAAATCAGCTGCACACCACCTGGTCTTAATAAGTTAAATCTATGCCATGGCATATATAAAAAAGGAGAGTGGGAAGAATGTCTAAAACTATTTTTAAAAAATACTTATTTTTTTTAAGGCAAAGTTACAGAGAGAAGGAGAGATACAGAGAGAGAGTGTGTGTGTGTGTGAGTCTTCCATCTCTTGGTTCACACCCCAAATGGTCATGATGATTGACCAGGGCTGAGAGGACCTGAAGCCTTTGAGCCAGGAGTTTATTCCAGGTTTCCCATGAATGCATTGACACACATTTAGGATCATGAAATATTGTCAAAATAAGCCATGCTGGGTTATGCAGCCTTAGTGAATATATTTCAAAGAATGAAAAGCAAACAGAATTTTGCCTAATGACTTTGATATGAGGTCAAATTAAATTATAAGAAATAATCAGAATTAGCCATGCAATTCTGAATAATTATTGATGAAAGCAAATAGTTATGTAGAACATGAGAAAATATTTTTCAACAGATGGTAATAGCAACTATATCTGAATATGTATGTTTACAGCACAATTTTTAATCTAAAGAGCATAGAATAAAAACTTCAGAAACTGAAGAGTAAGCCAACTGCAGAGAAAGTTAAGATCTGACATTTGTGTAATGGAAAATGGAATGGAGGCCAGAAACAATGCATAACTGTCTTCTTTGAAATCCACCACTTGCTAAGATTGAGTTCTAAAAAATAAAATCAGGAAAGAAACAGTCATCATCATTGGAATTCTAATACCAATACAATTTTAATAAAAAAAAGTTCACAAGCACTTTGCTATACCAGTAACTTTGCGAATTTAGCTGAACTACATTGCAGTATACATCTCTACTCTTGAATAAAAGGAGAACTCTCAATAAACTGCTAAATACACCTTAACAGTATGATATCGTGCTTTCTACCATTGCCTGTATCTACAATAGCATTTTCACTTAAATAATAGAATGTTGGACTTGTGACTGTTGCTTGTAACTGTTGTAATAACATGAAGGAAATTAGTGGGGAAGGGGATTAGGGAAAGATAAAGGTGAGGTGGGCAGGGAAACCTTATATCTATAAAAATGTATCATGAAAAATAACATAAAAAAGAAAACCACACAGTGACAAATTATTTGTATCAGCTAAATGCAGAGTCTAGAGTGCTAACTGTTGCACCATGGAACCTTCCCTTTTGTCAGCTTAATTTAGTGAAACTATATCCACTGGCCCTCAAAGGAAATCCCAGGTCTCAGTGGAATGAATTAGCTCTGCCATATATTTAGTATAGTATCAGGGTGACACATTTTTTTTTCTGAAAGAATATAAAAGTAATAAAATTCTGATATCATTTCTTCAACTTTTGCATAAACTTTATAAAAGAAAAACTGATACAAAAACTTTACAAGAACAAAAGGAAGTATCATTTATTAAAGCTATTTATGTAAAATACATGAAACTTTTTATAAATTTAAAAGTTAGTATAAAAAGATCAAAAATAACTGCTTCATTAACATGTATGTAAACATTTCTCAAAATAAGAATGTACCTAGTGTTATATCAAAAATATGTCATATTCAAGTTAATCTTATTCTTCGAATACACCCAAACATGAAAAGACAGAAAACAAGGGTAGACATTTGGTACAGAGAATAGAACACCTCTTGGGATGTCCATAATGTAAAATTGGTGTGCCTGGCATGAGCACCTGCTTCGCCACTTCTAATCTGGGTCATACTAATGCATGCTTTGGACAGCTGCAGATAATCTCTCCAAACCAAGTGAGAGAGCTGGGTGGAGCTGGTTCAGCTTGATGCATCCTTGCCTGATGCAGGCAGGCCTTTTGAAGAATCAACCAATGAACGCAAGGTTTCTCTCTCTCTCTGTCAAATAAAGTAACAATAAATAAATACTTAAAAATAGCCAGCAGTTTGTCACAATTAAGAGGGATAAAAAGGGGCAAGAAAGAGTGATTAAGAGTAATTTCAATAACCTGAACAAAATATTAAGGTTTACTCTACAAAATGTCTAGGTTTAAAAGAATAAATATCACTGTTAGTGTGATAGTGATACAAAAGTACAGAAATGGACTCATAAAAAAGGAAGAACCCAAAAATATTCATGCACTCTCATTTCTTTACCCAAAATTATGTTGAAAGGGAAAGAATAAAATTGGAAATCATACTCCACTAGGAGGTAAATATTGTAGTTGTAGAGTAAGACCTATGACATTGATAGGTTCAAAGACAAAAAAATTGAGCAATGAAATAAAATAGTCTACAAAGAACTGCATGTATATGGCATGATTTATAATGGAAGTGATATTACAGGACAAAGCAAAGTGTACAGTATTTTTTTTCCACTCATATTCCTAAATCAGTAGGATTTCCGTAATGAGAAAGTACAAATTGCTGCATGACAGTAGCTATATTAAAAGTTTACTCTTGTATCAATTATGGGTATAAATGTTATCAGGAAAATACATCGTCAAAAACATGATAGCTTAATAAGAATAAACTAAATACTAATCAGTAACATTAATACATTTTTGTAAATGAAAATTAAGAATTGATTATTGAAAGCATTAAGAAAGTAAAAAATGTGTAATCTATTAAAAGAAAAATACATTCAAGAAGAACATATATTGTGAGCATAAAGATAATTCTAAATTGTTTGAGTAGTCAGCAGCAGTAGACATATACATGTGTGGAGCTCAGGGGCAAAGAGATCACTAAGTCAACAAGCTGACGACTAATAAGGTCACTGGGTTACACGTGGTGAGCAAGATGGTGACCAAGGACAGAGCCCCGGCAAAGGGGTGGCGTTTCAAAGAAAGACTGATTGACCAGAATCATTTCGCTCACCTGCCCCTGGCCTAGGGGAGATGGCTTCTGCAGTAGTGCTCCTAGTGATTGGCTAATTCCTGGGATTTCAGGCCTGAGGCTATACGTTACCCTATATAAGAATCTGAATTTCCCAAATAAATCGGAACTGCTTAGACAAAACCCCTGTCCCTCTGTTTGTCTCTAGCATGCCGGGAGGCTGGATGGTGGGCAGCAGGCAACAGGATACTACAGGAATCTGTGGGGGAGACTCTGCATACGTGTACCCTGTGATGTGCAAGCATATTTACAGTAGCATTGTTTATATCTCCCAAGCTGAAACAGTCTGGATGTACACCAACACTAGGATCATTTGTGAAATACCCAATGCTGTATTTTGATAGTGAACAGAGTACTCTTCAATTCAGTAAGAAATAGAAATATTAGCAGTCTAATGTTAAATGAAAATGGAGAGGTTGAGATTGTGTACGTGTTTGAGGTATAGAGAGGAACTATATAGTAATCTTTTTGAGTTGAACTTGGTAATGTTTATTCCGGACATTCATAGAGTGTGCAGCTTACTCTATTATAGAAGTCATAATTCAATAAAAAGTTTGTATGAATTCATGGAAGGATGGCATATGGCATGGAGTACCATTGGCAGGAGGATAGTATGCGAGGGTCTTGACAGATATCTAAGTTATTTAAATCATGGATTTTGAAGTATTCTTCTGTAAGTAAAACAGTAAATATTTTTTGCCTGAAAGTCTTTGTTGTAATTATTCAACACTTTCATGAAAGCAGTTGTGAATGATATTCATAGAAACACGTAGCTGTATTCCAATTAAGTTTTGTTTACTAAATGGTAGAGGCAAGATTTGCCCACAGGCCATGGCTTGCCAATCTCTGCATTCCGTGATTAGTCAACATATGACTAGAGTAAACAAGAAAATCATATCTAAATGTCAGAATATAGTTGAAGTGTTTTTTCTCATCTTTCTAAAAATAAGCATGTGGAAATTACTACTCTGTCTCCTAAACTATATTTCATTTGTTATTTTTAAGCATTTGCATATGTTCCTTGAAAAACACTGTGTATATATAACAAACTGTTTTGCAAAATAATTGTGCTTTGCAACTTAAATGTATATTTTAATGTGTAGACCACAGTTTTAATTCTGTTCCAGTGCAGCATTTTTTTTTGCCAATACAGAAAATTCAGCAATTTAATAAATTGAAGTAGACACTGTGCTCTTGTATCACTTTAATTAGTATTGAGAAAGATCTGTTTACTATCAGGATTTATTCATTTCATTAGGTGATTGCTACAATTTGTCATTTTGTCAAAATTTAACTTTGTGTGTACTGAAAGCATTAAATGTCCTAATTTAAAATAGATTAATCTACTTCTGGCTTTGTTGGTTTTATGGCGAGATAATTTATTTACTTAAATCTTTCCTCCTTTGGTAATAGCTTAATTAATTGGTTGGACAAATGTTTATACAATACATACTAAAACCATAAATTTCTTTTCTAAATGGTTGCAGGCAAAATTTGGATCCGTGTAAAGCTGAACTGACTATTCTAGAGAAGATTATAAAACTAAATGAATCTATCAATCACTTATCTGGAACCCCCCTGCCAGTATCAGGATCTGTCCTTATTGGTGGATCACCACATCTTTATGGAAAAGATCAGGTATGTGATGTTTAAAAGACAAATGAACAAAAAAACATACAGATTATGCCATTTCACTAAAATGAAAAAAATAAGATACATTTTCTGGCCCATATCATGATTTCAGAAGAAAATTTTGAGACATGTTTCCAACCAACATATATATTTTTATCTATCAATCCCAAGCATAGGATAAGCTTACTGTTCTTATTAAGTAGAATTACTCCATAGCAGCTGTTTTATCACAAGATTGCAGTGTGTATGTTATATTTTCTGATAGCATTAAGTGTGTGAATTTTTACACACCTAATATAATAACTTTTTAGCTGATATGAAAGTGTGTCACATTAATAACACACCAAGAATATGATTCAAGTGATGGAACCAGATAACTATTAATTGCCTCTTTTCCTGTAGGCTCAGAAAAAAAACCCAGTGAGCTTCATCTTAGAGCTTTGTGCAGACTCAAGCCTATTACCTAAATTTCCATTGAGATAATTGGCTTTTTGTCTCCATTATTAAGCTGTATTTTAGAATAATAGCTTGCTTGTTGACTTAAATGTGATTGATTAATTGATTCGAATTTAATGTATTTCAGAGAATTGTTTATACATTATTGAGGTTGTATGCTAAGTACATCAGTAGCTGCTTATGACTATGAAACTTTTACTATTTGAAATCCTGTTTTATGTATTTAATATTATTGGAAATATAAAATGCTGTAAACCCCAATTTCCACAGATAATGCAAATTGATATAAATCTACATCTGATAAGTGTTATAGGTATGGTATACACAAGATAAATTTTTTTTTAAGATTTATTTATGTTTATTGGAAAGTCAGATTTACAGAAGAATAGAGACAGAGAAAAAGATCTTCCATCCCCTGATTTACTCCCCAAGTAGCCACAATGGTCCATGCTGAACCAGTCTGAAGCCAGGAGCTAAGAGCTTCTTCTGGGCCTTTCATGGGGGGTGCAGGGCCCCAGGCTTTGGGCTGTCCTCCACTGCCTTCTCAGGTCACAAGGAGGGAGCTGGAAGGGAAGTAGAGCAACTGGGATTATGAACTAATGCCCTTGTGGGATCCCAGGTGTGCAAGACAAGGACTTTAGCCACCAGGTTACCATGCTGGGCCCTCAAGATAAAATTTTAACACAAAATCTTCATAAATTAAAAAATACCTATATATTTGATATGATATGAATCACTTTGATAAATTGAGGAAATTCTGTATCTGTAAGCATGAATAAAATTACTTTAGCTTCAGATTTGCTCCATTAGTGCTATAATTATTCATCATTAACAATTTTATGTACTTGGTTTTTTTTTCCTTAAGCAAACCATTCTATAAGATCTGAAAAGGTAGAAAATGTCTCTTTTGCTTACCATTCTGTATACCAAGAATTATGTTTCTGTTGTATGGCTCAAGCTTAATCAACATCTTTTAAATGAAACAATCAATTAGTAAGTAAATAAAATATTCTAAAATTTGTCTTTCTTCTTCCTGTAAATAAATACCATGAGTGGCAGCCAATGAAGACTAAACTACCAGGTATCTTGCCACCCATGCAGCAGAGCTGGAATTCTAGGTTCCTAGAAGTGGCTCAGTCTCAATTGTACGCATATGGATAATTTAACAGCAAATGGAACATCTCTGTCTCCTTCTGTCTTTTACATGTTCTCTCTGCTTTTCAAGTATTATTTTAAAAGCAGATTTTCTGGTCCAGCGTGGTAACCTAGTGATGAAAGTCCTCCCATACAGGAGCAGGTTACTGTCCTGGTGGCCCCGCTTCCCATCCAGCTCCCTGCTTGTCTCCCGGGAAAGCAGTCAAAGACAGCCCAAAGCATTGGGAACCTGCACATGCATGGCAGTCCCAGAACAGGCTCCTGGCTTTGGATCAGGTCAGCTCTGGCTGTTGAGGCCTCTTGTGGAGTGAATCAGATAATGGAAGATCTTCCTCTCTGCCTCTCCTCCTCTCTGTATATCTGCCTTTCCAATAAAAAGAAATAAATCAAAAGATTTTCATACAGAGTTTAACTTTGTGATTATGTAGTAATTAAAGCAATGTTCTCACATCTGAAGGTCCTAAATTCTAGCCAGGAAAAAATACCCAAATATTTTTATTATGGTTAGATGCTTATTAAATGTAGGAACAACATGCAACATGAATTAAGAAAAGAGGAAGAAGTCTTGTAGCTCCCTTGAGCAGTAAGGGAGCTTGTAATTAGAGAGTTAGGAGAGGACGAATGTCTGCTTGGCAACAAATAGGGAGGGAAGCTCTTCTTTTAGAGGTAACATCAGACATACAAGTTTGATAACAGAAAGGTCTTCAAATAATGTGGAGGAAATGGAAATAGCATGTTATTTCAGAGGCCTAGAGTTTGCTATATACTGAGCAATTATACTGCTTGATTTTAGAGAGATAAGCAGGAGTCTTTACAGAATGGATCTTATGCACGTTGCAAGTAGTATAGATTTATATGCTAGTGACAAGGAAATTCCTTGATAAAAATTTGAATAGGAAGTAATATGCTACTATCAATTTGGTAGAAATTTAAGCCTAGAAGTAATAGAACTTAGATTATATTATAGAATTAGTAAAGTTGAAAAGTAGGAATAATTATACAAGAGAAGGTGTTGTAATATGGGTGATAGAGTAACTATGAAAGTTAGTGAATTTATAGTCTAAAATATAGAAAAAGCACAATTTAAGCAGCCTAGCTTTTGCAAGTAGAGAAATTATAATGTTACATTTTCTTTATTATTTTTTTATTGAATTCATTTAAGACCATGTGTATGTAAAAATCTCTGGGGGGAGGGGCACGGGTAGGAGTGGTGTTTAATCTTAGATCCTGAGTATGACAAGTGATGGATGCGAGCAAGCTATAAAATGTATCCAGATTATGGTCATACTAAAAGGGAAATCATAGAGGAGGCAAGTGGGCCACTGTTGTTCACTTCTCTAGAGAAAAATCCAAATAAAAAATAAATGAATTCATTTCAAGTTGAACATCCAGAGGGGAAACCTGAAACTCAGCAAGCATGTGCAGGAAGCCAATGACACACAGATCTGAAATAGCACCATGAATAAAGTAAAACAATAAAAACAGAAATAAAGTGTGCTAGCGGTAGAGACTCAGTGCATGGCAAAGTGTAAGAGGGGAGCCTCTTCAGGCCCCATGTTCAGCAATAGGAAGCTTTAGCAACCTTTATAATCATCCCAGGCATGTACCCCAGCCAGAGGAGCTACCTGCGGTATGCTAAAAAAAACTTTGCATCAGAGATTGAGGGTACCATGACTCCTCTATAACTCCCAGAATTGAAGTGGCAGTGTGATGCCACCTTAAAAAAGGAGTTGCTGTCCAAAATCGTACTACCTGAAGGGACAAGACTGCCTAAATACCCCTCCTTGCCATTGCACAGATCCTCAACCATGCTAAATACAAAGGCTTCAGCTTCACAGAGCCATATGAATCCAGCCATGATACAGGCCTTGGCACTTGGCTCAGGCAGTGTACCTTATTTGAGTGCCTCTTTTGAGTCCCAGCATCCCAGCTTTCTCTCTCTCTCTCTCTCTCTCTCTCTCTCTCTCTCTATATATATATATATATATATATATATATAGAATATCCAGAATATACAGGATTTATAATAATATCCAGAATATACAGGAAACCCAGCAATCGCAACAATAAGAAAAATATGTTAAAGTGGACCAAGTGTTAGAACCAAATTAGGTTCAGAGTTCAGAGTCAGGTAACTACACAGAGTATAATTCAGCTCAAGGCAAACTTTATTGGGAGCACTTCCACGCAAGCTTCACTGGTCCAGCACTGACAGCAGGCCAGGAAGTTGTGACTGGTGGGTCGGTAGTGGGTGCCTTTATGTGGGGATCAAAACAGGATGTAATGGTAGGGTTGGCAGCCATCACTCAACAGTTATCAACAGATATGAAAAAAAAAATCCACCGGCCCAGTTGCCTTACTATCTCCTCCTTCTGGGCCACCCTTCACCCACCCAGCTAAGCCTTACACAAAGCATCCAAACAGACATTTCTAGGAAGAATAAATGCAAATGTAAAATACATACATATAATAGATGCTCAGTATTGCTACCCATAAAGGAAATCAAGACCATCATGAGCTAAATATCACTACAATAGGAATGGCTACAATCAAAAATATGGAAAATAATAATTGTTGGTATGTATGAAAAAGCACATCTCTGTGCTCCTAGTAAGAATAGAAATTAGTATAGTCCTTATGTAAAATAGTATGGGTGTTTCTAAAATAATACAAATAGACCTACAATATTTGCATTCTAGTTCCATTCTGAGTACATGTCCTAATTTCTGGATGTATGTCCTAAAGAAATCATGTGAAAAAGAAAATTTTTACCCTGTATTCATTATAGCATTATTCACAAAAGCCAAGATAGGAAATTAATCATAAGTGTCCATCGATGTTGAATGAATATGTAAGGAAACTATGCTGTATTTACACACTAGAGTAGCATTTGCCATGATGAGAAGAAATCCTGACATTGACAACAAAGTATATGGAACTAGAGGTCTTTCTGTGAAATTAAAACAGTCAGATTTGGTTGGACAAATAGTGCATGTCCTCTCTTATATATGGAAAATAAAAATTTTATAAATATATTCAATCACAATTGAAATAGTGATCGCTAACAGCTGAAATTGACAAGCATGGGTGGACAAGGAGATGAGGGGTGAGTGTATAGTGACTATAAACACAATAAGTTGAACTTGAATGGGTTCTGGTCTGGAACTCTGGAGGGATAACTGACTAATGGTGATGTAAAATACCATGTTTATGGAAATGGAATCATTCAAATACAATTTCAGAAAACAAATGCTTGTTGCCTGGTATGGTCAGTTGAAACTTTGTATATGTTTGAAAAGTTGCATTGTACCCATGTAAAATGTGGAAGTATTACCTGGGAATTTAAAATTTAAAAATTAAAGAGAAAGGCCGGAATGGCAGTCTAGTGGCTTGAG